CTCTCTCTCTCTCTATATATATATATATATATATATATATATATATATATATATATATATATCAGTCTACAACAAAGTACATGTTTTATAATTAGTAATTACAAAGTTTCAGACGTTTTGATCAAAATTCTATCGGTCAAATAGAAATCTGATGGTAGAGTCTTAATCAAAACAGTCTTTATAAATTATGAGAAAATTTTTAGTTTGATGTGAAGTCAAAGTGCCCTTAACTGAAAATATTTTTAAAATTCTCAATATATACAAAATGTATCATTATAATTTCTGATTTATCTTAAGTTTGAATTATATTTCTTGCAAGTTAATATTTCCCTGCTTGTAGTTTCATACATGTACTTGTAAAGCACCATAGTAAGCACAATTTACTGGCCTAAGGCTAGCACAGCCCCCTGCATTTTTCATGTGAGTAACAACCTTTATTGATTATATCGCCCTTTGTAACACAGATTAAACAAATACATATTCTCACAATGTACATGTGAAGAATGGAGGCTGACAAAATTCTGACATCGTTACATTAATAAACTCTCTTTGGGCACAGTGTATTAGAATTTAGTGGTACATTTTATTTGGTGAGAACTCCCTATGCCGCAAATTTGCTTTGTAGTCTAAAATATCTCACAATGAGATATAGAGCAAAATATATCAAAGCAATGGAAATGCGTTCATAGTAAATCTAGTTGATATAAATAGGTTATGGATTTATATCGTTTCCTAAAACTTGGTAAAAGATCGAACTTGCTCACATTTGCACTATTGAGTGCCATTTTCGAGACCCAATCACGACGTGTTCAACAATAATGATCACTCAATCACACCTCCACACGTAATTCCAAATGTGTTACCTCCTAATTGACGTAGTGCCTGCCAATTTGCTTCTTGCCACAAAACTCGGGCATTCTAATTTCCCCTCCCCCTAATCTGAGCTAACTTGTGCCCGGAATATCAATGTCCGTCGGGACAACCACTGCTTGTGATCTGGGAGACTCTATTTCACAGTGGTTGCCTTAATCATCCGCTTGAAAAAACATCCTGTAGATATGGTTAATTATCCCCACTCTAAAATATACCTCGCATGTTACTCTTATCTCTTTGTGGTGTAGCTTCCACCATGTATAATATTCACATCCGGCAGAGTCTATTCGGGATAACAGAACGTTCCTTTTTGAGGGTACGCCCAGGCGAACAATGGGTGCAGGGCAGCAGAAAATATTTCACGCCAACAGCCCTGTTAAACATCAAGTCTGGCAGGAAAAAAATCCATCCCGCCACTATCACAACCTTGCCATGTGTCATCCCATGACCACGACCTTTTACACATAACGTGGTTATCTCGTCCTTTCTCTGATGCGCCTTGATGTACGACGGGCTGCTCGGATCTCGCCGACGTTAGGACGGTTAAGCCGCTAATGGGCGTTCCAGCCATCCTGGCACATTTGATCAACAGACACAATGTCACTTTGTACTAGTTGCCATGATTTCCCTATCACACCTTCCCTGCGCTGTTGCTACATTGTTAGATTGTGGGGAGATACGTACAGACAGGCTATTTTCGTGGTGCGGCTTCTGCCCCAATTCTAATAAACAGTCGGTGGAGATGGTATCAACTGAAATGATCGCTGTTACCTAAGACGAATGGAGGAAAGGCGTTAATGGGACATTGTATTACTGTAACATGGTCAGACTTACTTTCATTTTCCAGGTCCAGCAAGTAATTTTCCTCTTCCCAGTGCAAATTTTCCTCTTCTTCTTCCACGTAATCGTCTTCCATGGTTCCTTCGCCTGCGGCCACGTTGTCCGTTTACAACTCCCACTCAAAAATATCCACACACACACACAAAGGTCCCGATTTATGCAGAAACATTCCAAAGCTGAAGAGAAGCTCCCTGGAAGAGTGGCATGCTGCCAGCCGATGCATCTCTGGTCCGGACCCAACTGCTGCAGGCCAGCACTACCCACATGATAATGGCTTCATTACGGTTGCTTGCGCCACCTGTTAACCGTGATTGGGCCCTCCCTGGGGCCCCTTGCCATCCACTGCTAAATATGGATGTGATCGTTTATCTCCGATAATCGTATCACCTGCCGAAATCCCACTTGCACCAGGACCGTGATACGCTACCATGCGCGAGAACTAAGCATCCGGGCAATCTCCACGAGATCTGGTCTTTCCCGCCTTGAGCAAAATCGTTTTCCACCAATGTCAGGGTTGCATGACCACTCCAGATTTATCTCGGAAAGGAATAAAGTTATGGGGGCTGGAGACAATGGTTCACTATAAATATTTTAGTCTCATATCTCCACTGCACTTTGGTCGACACTTTGGCGGACGTTGTAAGACGTACGGTATCTTCAGCACCCCTGCAGATGACTGCAGCTCGAGCCAAACTGGAACCAAATCTATTTGCAGAAGAGATCGCTGGGAAATTAAATTCCAGGAACAGCCAATTCCAGGGAGATAATTTGGGAAGCAGTTAGATGTTTCCCTCGGGAAGAAGACCTCATAAAATAGATACCTTATTAAAAAGACCAATGGAAAACCATAGAGATGGCTAATACATAACAACCTACCAACGGCCTTTTGAAAGGGAATGTCCCGGAAAACGGACAGGGGGACGTAGTCAGCAAATTCCACAGCTGTAAAAAATGATCAGCCTCACAAAGGAACCTGTGACTGCACATTACCGGTGCAGAGTGCCCTCGGGGAATGAGCCATTAGGGCTGTACCACTCTCCTCCAACTGGCCTCCAGAAAATAAAACATGCAAGAGGGATCAATTAATGAAAGACTTCTACTGGAATCAACCCTTCAGAACTAAACTACATGGCTCCAATTGTCCCAAAGTAAAGATGATGCTCCCAACGAGGCTGTTTATTGGAAAGTGGAAAAAATCGAAGGGTACATGGTACCACTTGGTGTGTAATGATCCCGGTGAAACGCACCCCTCCATAATGTCATTTCCCCCACTCCTATTGCAATTTTAATGTGGCGGGCCATGAGGGATCGGCCGCATCCGTCTCCAGACCGGACGGTGGGGGTCAAAAGTAGCCGACCTCCCGCGCCTGCTCAATACGACGGGCAAACCACTGCTGACATGGACGTGATTGTGCAAATAACCTCCGGGTGAAAACGCTGGGATGTCACGCGCACCTTGACCAAAACGTGCACACGTCCTAGATATCATAATATTGCCGATGACTGGCATTATGGAATACCACTGTACAGCTAGGGTGACCTTCACCCGCTTCCATCTACAGATTCATATGAAAAAATCCCAGTAAATACACCATTTTATTGATGACTACCTTTTAGTTAGTAAATTCTCATTTAATATTCTACTTTTTGGTAGTGTACGATATCTTACTTTTTCCTATTAAAGGATTTTTAACCATGATTATGAATATAGTAATATCAGCTGATTATACTCTGCATACGTACATTGTATATACATGTATAAACAGTACCAGGTCCTAAGAAATTTTACCTAGTACCCCCAGGCATTTAAAGAAGTGGGATATTCCATTATCAATGGATGGCTGAAATACAAATTTTGTACATTTGATTTGAAATGATGAAAAAAAAACTAAATCATCAAGATTGCATTGCTTGGCCCGGTTTAAAAGCACAATTCTCAAGCTGCTAAAATAACAAGTCTTGAATCGCACCATCATTTTCAAGTTTTGGGGATATTTATTTTTCAATTATCATTTTTGATTGAAGACACTGGTATCATTCGTAATTGTGGTAGTAATGCCTCACTGTAGCCTTGACTTTAATTCAGTTACAGACCAAACATATCATCATTAACGTGTGCACAATATTTCTCAAGAGGAGAGGCAACGTGTTTCATGTGTAATTACAACATGAATCCCAATTGTGTTCTGTGGAACATGCATCGTTAATCAACCTTTATTAATCACACAAGGCATAACGAGTGGCACTTTATGAACTCCCAACAGAAGTAAACGGTGTAGTTAAGGTTTCAGAGTAAGGTTTATGCCTAAAGACAACTTCTAACTTCATGTTATTAGTACTAAATTTAATGGAATTTAAAGATATTCTATTCTTTAATAGATTTTCACCTTCTATTGTTGTTTTAATGCTATTATAGTATGAAGCTAAGGAAAGTTGCATAAATGACTAACAAGATCAATAAGCCAAAAATTTACTTGAAATTAGTAATCATTACATACAATTTTACCTCAAAAAATTGTTTTGGACACAATAATTGACACAAATTAAGATAATTGTAGTAAGTAATACAATTACCTCAGTCGAGGAGGTTTAAAATTAAGAGGCCCTTTGATTTTAAACCTCCTTTCCTCAGTGCATTGTCCTTTGTGACTTATTGTTCTCCCTCTCTATATATACATGTATAAATATATAGCAGTTGAAATTGCAATTCTTTTGCATCCTGTAGAGACTAAAAGGGTCGTAGAAAAGGTCACCTTGGAGGTAATGGAGATGAATAGCTCTAAATTACAATCTTAAAACTGCTCTAGAATAAAGAGAAGGTGCGAAACAAAAGCTTAAAATGTGCCTCCAGAAAGGTGCACTATTAATACACCAATGATATATGATATAGCTTTGGGGAATGGTGATTACTAAGAGATGTATAACACTATATACAACCAACTACAGCTAAGTCACTGTTTGCTAATGCTATGTACATGTTACTTGAATCTGCTACTAAAACACTTTACAAAGCAGACTGCTTTAAATGTTGTAAACCTAGGAATTTTCATAACAGTATTTAAACTATGAATATTATAAGTACATACTAATGTATAATTCTTTACATTTTTAAATCTAATAATTTACTGGCTGTGAGTGACACTTTGTATTCCTCCCAAGCTTTGCCCTTAATGACTACAACCTTGGATATTAAGTAATTACAAGCCAAACCAATGAGTACCTAAAAATAGATAATAATTGTTCTACTCCAGGTTCTGTTTTTCTCAACCTTGTCCTCTGAGATGTTTAAGAAGAAAAATATGGAAAACTTCAAAATTTGTCGTATTGATGACCTGAGGTACCATATGCTACAAATGCGATGTCATTGCAGCTTTTCTAATTAGTCGCCTCCGGCTATAATTACTTTTCTTTGACAAGCAGGCTAAATATTATAATTAGCTGTATCAAAACACCTCAGGCAACATAGCTCTCTTGACAAATGGCAGCAAATATCTGAAACATTACAGTAAACATAATACAAAATACCTGTTATACAAGTAATTTCCTCTACACTGTAACATAGCCAGTTATGCTGGGATAATATGCAGTTTTATCTTTTTATTAATTTGACAGTTTACCACCCAGTGGATGGTATATGGTAGAACAGATGCTTGGGAACACCTTTTCAAAGCCACCATCATACCATCTTTAAATGTTTGTGGCAGTTTTATTTTTCATTACATTTTATAAATCTACACAGTGTATTGTTTTTGACAGCAAAATGCAGGCCGAAAAACATAAGTGTTGCTCTTGTGTCTATAACATGCTGATCAGGCACTTGTCCCTGTCCCTTGTGGTTTGCTAAGTGAATGCTCGCCCAAAGCATGACATTAAACTGGCAGCGTGGAACAAAAACATGGGACTCGTCCCAAAATCTATATGCTAGCTATAATAACATGGATTTTGAGCCTCTTTAGCCTTTATAACCAAGCTACTGTAAGCTATACTTCTTTTGGGGAATATGATATCTGAAATTCATTTATTAACATGCATTTCTTGCTGATTCCATAAGGCAACAGACATGCATAATATAGAAATGTTGGAAGACAGAAAATGAGAAGACAGAAAATGAGATGACCTTTTTTCTAGGATCTTATGCCAAATTTCCTGACATGCCTTGCATGTGAAAATTAACGGAAACACAAGCAAACACAGGTAAATGATGAAATTTATATTTGGTGACACTAGATATTCTTTGCAATTTGCTCTTACATGCATGTAGTGTGTATTCTAAACTATCTAGGTTCTCCCAATTTGTTTAACTATAATTATACGTGTATGCTAGTACCTGATTCCATAAATGCCTAAGGATAGAACTATTGCTAGATGTTGTATCATGTAGAGCCGATAACAATTGGTACAATCTGTCATTGTCTGTACATGAAGTAGCTAAGGATTCCAAATTCTGATTAAACCTCAGCTACACTCATGAGTCATCTCAACTCTGGGTGTATTCTGGTGAACCCCAAGGATGACTTTTGGGACCATGATAAATCACACATGTGTACCTGGAATGAGTAACAAAATTTGCCTTCAACTATAAAGCATCACCATGCTATTTCATCTCGATCAAGACAGGGAAACTTTGTAATGTGAATCATAACTGCTACTGACATGTAGTTTTACCTTTTGAAAAAGTATTCAGTTTACTAACACTATAGTCATTTACTCAAAACTAGCCTATAGCTACTGAGTCAATCATTAATTTTGATTTTGTTGATTATCAGTAAACACTTTGTAACAATTTGTAGAAAGAAAGGATTTGCAAAGTAGCTGTTTTATACAGTCACATACTCAAAAAATTAGCAAGCAGTGCCTGACAGTGTTAGCACTGTGAATACAACAATAAGTATTGATATTTGAAACCACATGATATAGGAGATTTCTAATAATACTTGACCTCATTTGAATCGACTAATGACTACATGCCATTATTTGATGGAAGGGGTCAATTTTTACAGACAAAATCTACACTTGTCATGTTTGGCCTTTCAGTGCAAATTTTTACCACCATTAGCCAAAGATGTCAACTGAATGGTCCCTCAGCCCCACCCTCGTGAAAAATTAATGAAGCATCCCTTAGGCTGATGGATCTGCCTTCTGAGAATAAGTAATGCTACAGTGATAAAATTTAATGAGTTTTATCTACTATGTTAGTTTAAAAAATTTAAAATCCCCCCCCACACACATACACCTTCTATTGTGTAGAGCTATGCCCATCTCCAAGCAATTTTTATAGCACTTAGGCCACACAGTTAAAAAACACACAACTATGTTGAAAATTATTTGCAAATGTCAGTCTGAATGGTGATTTTCAGTTTCAGAATATTTGAAGTTTTGACACCAAAATTTCACCATACCCATGTTTAAATACACTATCCCTTTTGCTTAAAGTCAATCTTTGCACCACTTCTCCACACACATGAAATGAACAACCCCTTTCAGCCCTTCAGCATTGACAAGAGATATAATCAATGGGCGGTCCCCTCCCATTTCCCAATCTCCACAGATGAGCCATCTCCTGGCACCCTATCCATGAATATTAAATGAAATGTCCCCAGGCTATGGATATAGATCAGAGGTAACAACTATCCAGTGACAGCCCTTGATGTATGGGATAGCAGTCAAGTGAGGGATGGCTGAACAACTAGATGAGAAATAAATCTATAATAATAAAAGCGGCAGCTTGGTAATTTAGGATGCAAAATCAAGGAATTACTACCAAGGGGCAGCTGTAGTTGGGTTTGAAATATTGAGGTCATTCTGATAAATAGTTAGGCTCACCCGAGCTTAGATTCCTGATAATCAATTTGGTTACAAGTTTAACCAGTAAACCTGGCTGTCATAGTACTTTCAGGGTTTGTGGTCCAAGGTTTTTTGTGACATCATAGAACAACTGAATTAGGAAAGAAAGTCCAGAAATTCAGCACCAGGGACAGGGA